ATAATCTTATAGACCCCCCGTTTCCATTGGATTTTGCAAAGCCTTATTTCTAAAAAGGTATTCTCGTCAAGGCTGAACTGGTCCATCGTTTCGAACTAATCGGAACTGGTTTCATCTGCACCTATAGCGAGACTCGAACCCGGTTTTCACTCTAGACAAGTTGACAGCTACGTCACACTGCCAAGAGCGACTTTTGGTCACAAAGCAGAAGTAGTCTTGAAAATAATACTTATAAAAATTAAATAAGTAGTTAGTTGATTGTCATAGAAAATAGGATTTTGCTTCGTCGACAATCCTACGATCCTTAAAACTTACGTCTACTCTGTGACACGAGTACACTGGTGGTAGTGTGATGTAGCGGTAAATGTGTTTAGACTGCTGCACTATCACAACTCGGGTTCTGATGAGACCAGTTTAAGCGAGATCGGAACTACAGTCGAGTGCATCTAGGATAATAATGCCTATTGAGAAAGCAAAGCTATGCAATGACCTAAAATCTAGTCATGGGATTGTGGGAAAATTCTACTACCAGTTCCCTTATCACCTTCAATGAAATAGGTTGGATACATCTTTTATATCAGTCCAGCTGGTAGTCTTAAAAAGCCTATTTATACACGAAAAATAAGGTCAATTTGGATGTTCTCAAAGGTTGTGTGAATGTCAGCAAAAAAGGTTTTTATGCACATACACAGAACACGCACCTATATCCTTTAATCTCGTCCTCCAGATGGTTGCATCTTCGCTCGAGGCTAGACAGCTTTTCTCGGTATTGCTCTAGTGTTCCCTGAAGCTCTTCTATGCTGCGTGTCTTCCCCTCGATCTCGGAAGCAAGTCGTTCGCGTTCATGCTGGAGGTTGTCATAACGATCCTCTAGTTCGAAAAAGTCATTCTCCAATTCTTCTACATAACGAGCATCAATGCTGGAGGCAGAAGAAAATATCCCGCCTGTCCCAGGTCCAGAAATACCACTCGGCTCTCCAATGCTAGAGCTTCCGACGGAAGGTCCGCCGCCTCGAACCAATGATGGTCCAATACCACCGGAAAGTGACATCTGATGTGTCAACATTGCAACACCAGCGGGTCCATACGAAGGTCCGGCGGTCGCAGGGTGGTGTCGCCGAGTCTCGAAGAAGCGCTCTCGATCACCGTTGCCATTGTTTGCAAAGGAAGTGACAACTCCTGTAGGTACAAGTTCCCCAGTCCTTTTTTGGCAAGATGACAGGAGACAGAAAGGCGAAGGTTAAATGGTTAAAAAGTAAAAAGAACCCATAAAGATCACTTTTAATGCAAAAAACTCTGGTTTATGTATCTAGTCAAATAAAAACTATTAGCTCATAAAAGCTCACATTTGACTTGGTACTTCAAAGTTCTTCGAAAGAGGCACTCTAGCATAAACAAACAAAAATTTGTGCATTGATGGAGGAAAGCCGAGTTATAAAGAATCCTCAGATGATAGAGGTTGTTTGATCTTGTTTTCGCAACATGGTCATATTGGTAGGAAGACTTATTGGAACGCACCTAG